TAGTTCTAGGTATTTATAATGCTATCCAATCAAAACCCACTCTATTTTTCGACGCGTTTTATTTATCCTTCCACTTTTTTAAAAACTATACTATTACTATTATTAATTAATCTAAGAAAACATTTACGCACAAGATGTCGACAAGTAAAATTCTTCCCCGTATGAAAAGAGAGCTTGGTAGGCTGTTTATTCCTTGTTCATAGTAACATGCTTTACATGTGCTTCTAATTTTATTGTTTGTGTTCATTAGAAATCCTAGAACGTGATACCGCTCCTGGTATTATTTGTTATCCGGTGGACGACAATCTACTGAACTTTGCTGCAGGTGGGTAGTTAGGACCGAAACTGAGAAGCTTTTTTAATAATAAAAAATATTTGATAAAGAAATAAAGGGGCCGGTTGATACGCCATACGAGGGAGGAGTTTTTAAAGTGAAGGTACAAATTCCTCAAAGGTAAGATTTATTATTATAAATCATATCATATTTAACTGTAAATTTAAATAAAGCATCAATTCATCGATCTTATAGATATCCAATGGAACCACCAAAAATGCAATTTGTCACGCCGATATATCATCCGAATGTAGACGACGTGGGAAGGATATGCCTTGATGTTTTAAAAATTCCGCCGAAGGTTTTTCTGGTTTTCTTATTATTTAAACATTGTTTAATACTATAAGCTATGATATAAAAGAACTCTGGTATACGTTTAAAAATCAATTTTCCACCTTAGGGTTCCTGGAGTCCATCCTTGAACATATCAACAACGCTGACCTCGTTAAGTGTACTGATGTCCGACCCCAACCCAGATGATCCACTTTCCATCGATATTGTATGTAAATCGATAATAATTCTTATTGAATTGAATTAGTGCTGCATTATTTATCACACGTAGTAGTAATTCATTTACTATTTATCTTTTTTAGGCGCGTGAGTTTAAAGATAGTCCGATTCTATTCAGACAAAAAGCTCGTGAAGCAACATGTAATTACGCGATGAGTGGTGATAATGTTAATAATATTAAGGAGGATGATAATAATAAAAAAGAGGTACGAATTGTGCACGTTAATTCAAGAAAAGTATAATGTCTGTATTCACTTTATTTCTTCAAAAAAGAAAAATTTCTCTTACGAAATTTCTGAATCTTTCACAACGGTAGTCTATGGATAATTCACCTACTGACAAGGGAAAAGGAAAACAAAAGGAAACTCAGGAAGTAGTAACAGGGAAAGGATCGAAAGACAATCTAGTGGATAATAATAACTCGCGGGAAGAGATTCCTGTGAACTCTTCTCAAGTGGATGCTCAATCAGTTGTTACCGAGGAGGAAAGTTTTGACGTCAAAAAGAAGAAACTCTCACTTTCAAAAGCAAAGACAGAAAATAATACTATTACTATTGACCAAACGAACGAGAAAATGCAGCAAGTTACCGAGAGTTCCAGTAGACTCGAAGTTATTGAGGATAACAATAATTCACAAATTAATAATGTAACTCGACGTGATGCAAATCTCGATGTTCCTATTCAAACAGCAGATCAATCAGAAAACGGAACGGCAGCCTTGCCAGTTCATGAAACTAAATCCATTACAACACCAGCAGACATAGAATCTGACTCTAAAAATACAATATTAATTTCAGAAACCAAATCCACACCAACAAACAATACCACCGTAACAACCGAGAAAAGAGTCCCATTAATGGAAAAGGCTAACGTATTATCTCTTGGGTCATTATCATCCTCATCATTTTCAAATTCGACAATCGACCAAAAATTCGAATACGAGACAAATAAAAGTGAAAAGAAACGTAGTTTACTTCGAAAAAGAACGAGAAATGAGTCGATTGAAAAAAGAATGAAATTCAATAATAATGTTTAAATTATTTATTGTCAAAATCTATTTCTGTAAATTTGTCGTTGGTTAAAAATAAAACCAGATTTGGGTTTTACAGAAATCACGTGAATAATTAAGTCGGTGACGTATGCATGTATAAAATGTAAAAAATACTTTATTGATAGCAAAAAGTGTCAAAATGTCTGACGACGATTTTATGCTCGAGGACGACGAAGAAGACTACAACTTTGAATATGATGACGATGAGCAGGAAGAACCTGACGTTGATCTTGAAAATAAATACTATAATGCTAAAGGTAAATCTTTAGCAAAAGACTATATTTACGTGCGTAAAACAATGGCAAAAATGATTTAAAATTCACCAATTTTTATATGCATAGCACGGAAAGAGGATGACCCTGACGCAGCCATAAAAGAGTTCCAAAGTGTAGTCGAGACAGAATCAGAAAAAGGTGACTGGTAAGCCATTATCTAAGGCTTTTATTGAACTGTTGGACTAATAATATTCAATGTTATATATACGTGATATAATCGATTTTAGGGGTTTCAAAGCATTAAAACAAATGTGTAAACTCTCATTTCGTGCCAACGATTTTGCTTCGGTAAGTGTGAATTTTAATTTTTTCTTGTTTCCCTTTATATGGAGGTTGAAATCAGATCTATAAATTGATCTTTGCAATTTGAATAGACGCTCAAGTACTACAAGGAACTTCTCACCTATACAAAATCAGCTGTCACACGAAATTATGGCGAGAAGAGTATCAACAATATTTTAGATTTTATTTCTACCTCGCAGGATATGGGATTTATGGAGGAATTTTATTCGACAACATTAAATGCACTGGAAGAAGCTAAAAATGATGTATTTTTATTTCTTCATTATTTATAATTTTTATTTAGGAATTTATTTTTTTTTAGTTATGATTTAAATTTTGTAAGTCTATTAATTTGGTCTTTTTTTTTGCTTAAATAGCGTCTATGGGTCAAGACTAATTTGAAATTGGCAAAACTTTGGCTTGATCGTAAAGAATTTACGCGTCTGAATAAAGTAATTTTTTTTGTTTAACTATTTGTTTATTGCGGGTTTGTAAGTAAAGTGCTTATCGGTGATTTCGTAGATATTACGACAACTTCACCAATCATGTCAAAAAGACGATGGTACGGATGATCAAAGAAAGGGAACACATTTGCTGGAGATCTTTGCACTGGAGATTCAAATGTATACTGAGACCAAGAATAATAAGAAATTGAAGGTCAATAAGCAGTCACAGAATTATTATTTTTTTTTTATTTTCATTGCATTTTTAATTTGTATTCATTGTATTAAAAAAAATCATACAGGCACTTTATCAACAATGTCTACATGTAAAATCTGCTATACCGCATCCACGTATAATGGGTGTAATTCGAGAATGTGGTGGCAAGATGCACATGGGTGAAAGTGAGTGTAATTGCTTATTATTTATATAATCAGCAATTATTATTTGTATTTAATTAATTGTAAAAAAATTAAATTATGTTACTAGAGGAATGGGATAAAGCTCAAACTGATTTCTTTGAATCATTCAGAAACTATGACGAGGCTGGTAGTCCGCAGCGTATACAAGTATTGAAGTGAGTTTTCTTTTTCCTCTTATCGAGTTACTCTAAGAAGCAGTGTTGGGCGACTGGATTTATAAAATTTTATCGATCCAGTTTGAAGTCAAAATGACAGGACCTATATAGAGTGACAACCCTGCTAGGAAGGAAATCTATAGAACGTATTCATTCGGCTAATTTTATATATCATATATGAATCTGCAATAGATACCTGGTGCTCGCAAATATGTTAACAGAATCACAGATCAACCCATTTGACTCGCAAGAGACCAAACCGTAAGACCTTATTATTCAATATTTAATTCAATTTCGACATGCACAAGTAATCTAATCATTTTGAAATAATTATATAGTTACAAAAATGATCCACAAATCGTCGCAATGACAAACTTGGTGAGTGCATATCAACGAAGGGAGATTCGAGAATTTGAGAAAATTCTTCGAGGTACGTATTATGCAGAGCGTGTAGTAGTTTTATGCGGTTCTGGTTCCAATTCTCGCGGCCTTGAAACTTATAACTAATCAATGGGAAAAAAATATCTATTTTAATAATTCACAAAGATAATCGATCAACAATTATGGATGACCCCTTCATCAGAACATACATTGATGATGTTCTTAAGAATATTCGTACTCAGGTGCTTTTACGTCTGATCAAACCATACACGCGTATTGAAATACCATTTATATCAAAGGTAAATTAATTTTTATTTTCTGAATTATCTCACGTTAACGCTTACAAACAAATACTATTACCGATAACAGCAATTGAACATTCCGGCACAAGACGTAGAAGAGTTACTAGTAGGACTGGTGCTTGACAATAAGATATCTGGAAGGATTGATCAAGTGAATCAACGATTGGAGCTATATAGACAGTATGTATTTGTTTTGTTTGCATATTAGAGGTTTCGCTTAAGGTGAATTCTCATCAATGGGATTGAACTATTCTATTATTAGATCGACGGATACTCAACGCTACACAGCGATCGATAAATGGTCAACAAACGTGGGAACTTTGTATAAAACTTGTATCAATAGGGTGTCTTGAGTTCAATGCAAGTATGTAAAGATGTATTATTGACTTTGTTAAACAAAGATTATATAATATACAACTACACAACCTGCAAAAACCTGTTTCCACAAAGAATTAAAGATTTAAAGTAGCAAATTGTCTTTAGAAGATACATTTCAAGTTCAAAGTTCATAACCAAAATTGTATATTTATTTTGTCGCATAAAAGAATCTAAATAAACTACAAAAGTATAGCGATGGAGCGTGTTTATTGCTAGTTACCAATCGACAAATCATTCAAAGCGACACAAACAGCCGCCTTATGATGACCATTATACTGCCTTATAGTTTCGCCTTGTTGCAATTCCCATAACCGTGCCACGTGATCGGATGAGGCTGAATAAATGGAAACCAAGAATTCAGGAAAATTCGCTAAATAATACAACCAACAAGTAAAAATAACTCACCAGTAACCAAATAAGCAGAGTCGGCAGAAAATGCACAATCCCATACCCATCGAGTATGTCCTTTCAATTCTTTGTCCAATTTGAATTCGTTGTCAGCAGTGGACCATATTTTCACGGTGGTGTCTGCTGAACAAGTGGCCAAGTGTCTAAAACATAATAATGGTCATCATTCGGTAACATAAAAAAAGTTCGCGGACATAAGGTACAAAAAATTACCTACTTTACATCCGGACTCAATAAACATCTAAGGATATATTTTTTGTGCGCCGAAAATTGATAGATTGGCTGCAAGTCGGTAAAATCACGCGTATTCGACATCTTCCAAACAAAGCAGTTGCCCTATGTGTTAGATTCAGTGAAATATTTTAGATATCATAAGGGAATTCTGAACCACAAAATAGAGGTCCGATTAAATTTCAATACTAATAATTACTTTATTATTAGCAGCAACTAACATTGACCCATCAATTGCCACGGTCACAGATCTTAAGGGAACATCTTCTTCAGGAGCCTTAAAGGTAATATTATTATAAAAATATAAATAGAGCTCACATATAGATCATAAATATCCCAATAGTTGAATTCGAATTTCGACATCTTACCAATTCATAAGTACAGGAATTCTCACTTAAATCCCAAATTTTAATAACACCTTTTTGATCGCAAGATATCAATTCACCTTGATTAGGATGAATGGCCACATCATTAACGGGTCCTTTGTGATCATAGTTACGTTGAACTTGCGCAGACCTAAATCAGTCATATCACTTTTGTTATTATTGCTGTTATTCTCGAAACTATACACGATAATCAATCAATCACCTTGTATCCCAGATCTTTAGAGTACCATCTTCACTTCCACTGGCCATCCATTTTCCATCACAATGGAAACCGACTGCAGTCACATTTCCTGTATGACCATCAAATGAAGATATCTTAATATAATATATATGTATATAGATCGATTAAATGAATGAATGTCTTTTATAAATAATAAGATGATTAAAATGGATTTGTTTAAAATTACAGAACAAGAAATCTCGAAATACGTAAATAAATAGATTACCGGATTTGGATTGGGACTATTGATGTCGTATAATCGAATATGTTGATTTCCTTTGATGATGGTTTTTAAGAAATATCGTTAATATCATTGGAAAAATTGTCAAACTACAAAGTTTTATGCGTCACGCATACTTTAAAAAGATGTGGGTGTTTAACTCACCAGCTGCTGCCAAGTACCTCTTATCCGGTGAAATGCACAACCTGTTAACTTGCTATCGTAAAGTACAAGATTTGTTTGTAGATCGATCAGTATAATTTCCTCTTTTCGAGTTTTCACCAAAACTCACATAAATATCTCACGCATTCAAGTATTGTAAATAGTCCGATATGCTAGCCATATAAATATTATATATATATGTGTGTACCGACCGAATCAGGATGTTGTATAGTCCTCGAGCAAATCCCACTCAAAGCTTCCCAAAACCGAATAGTGTGGTCATAGCCAGCGGTAACTAAAATGACAGAGTGGGAATCGGGAGGGGCTTGGTATTGCTGGCTTGGATAAAATTGTTGTTGCTGTTGATAATTATTGTGTGGTCGTGTGTGGCTCCGCATACTTGCGTTCAAGAGAGGGAAAAAGTGGTGAGTAATCCAAAAGTATCGATCTAGCCCCTAAAGCCGGCCGTTGAATAATTCTTTAAATCATGCTATAGCATGTGTGGCTAATTAGGAAAGATGTGGCTAACCGAGATTTCAAAACAAAAACATTACTGATTTTTATTTTTACCCGATCGATACACGAAATGCATTGTTTCTGTCCTCTTAAATTATTTCATAAATCTCATAAATAATTCGTTTACATCAAGTTTCCTCATTCTACGCAAATATAATGAACTCGCGCATAATTCAAAATGGTATTAACGCACCAACGACGACGATTAACAGTCAATTACAGTTGCACCACCATGATAATTCAGCAGCTGCCACTGTATTACGAACCCCAGAATTGATACTACACATTTTCAATTTTCTCCCAACTAACTCGCTTCTTAATGTTCGGAATGTGTGTAAACAATGGCGCGAATTAGTGAATTTGCCGCATCGTTTCGCTCTTTATATTAATCAAATAATGACGAATCCACCGACAATTTACGTGTTGAAAGAGAAGAGTTTTGATAGTGAAGGACACAGCAATAAGACCATCGGAGTTTATCTTAATGAACTTACAGCGCTTAATGCAATGATTCGACATCATAGGGAGTTCATGCTGGAAATGGAATATCATTATACGTCAAGTATTGATGGGCCTTATAAAAGATCTGCTAGACCATTAGAAAGTGGACACGATGAGCTTACCTACGAATGGTATGTCGAGAAATTCGAAGATGTCATAACTCGGGTCGATAACTATCACGAGGTAGAGTATGATCCCGCATGGGTTCTTACGACTGAAGATGAGGACAGTGAAGAGAATGACAGCGAAGACGAGGGGGATGACAGTGAAGACGATGACGATGACGATGAGGACGATGATGAAGATGAGGAAGAATACAACAACAATGAAGATGATTGAGATGAATATATAATTAAACAAGAGATTAGATAGAACATTTGTAACAAATCATTAAGCGATTATTAGTCATAAAAATATTTCGAATCATGTAAATTTTTTAAAAAGGATTGAAATTTATGTCTCATCGATAATAGGAGCATATATATATTGTATAAATGGTTTTTAATTAATAAAAGTTTGCTTTAGCTTATTAATAATCAAGTACAATCATGATTTTCTACAATTAAAACAATTAAATTCATTGATTAAACAACAATTTTAACCATCCTTTTTGCCGATTCCACCAGAAACGGCGCCAGCACCAGCAGAAGATAACACGTTCGAAGTCATTAGATTATTGATATACGTTTGAAGTATCTGATTACCAGCTTGCTTTTGATCATAATCTTGCTTTACAGATTCAACGCGTTGTACCAGAGCTATCGTATTATTAATTCGATTTGTCAAAGAAATAGTCGTCTTATAATCAATACTTGTGACATGCGTACATACATACATACATACATACATACATAAATATATATATATATATATACCTTTTAAGCCGCCTTGAAGTTCTACCACTTTACTATTCCCATAATAATATAGAATTATTCAGTATAACAAATGCATCTATGTCAAACATAAAAAAACAACTGAGATATTTACTTTATTAATTTTTCTTTTTCTTCCTCGGGAACATTTTCATCTTGTTCTTTTTGAGATTCGGTGATATCCTTATTCTGTAAACCCGACATTTTAAAAGGTTTATTTTGTTGAAGTTTATTTGATAATCAATGCTGTTCCATTTGATTGGACAGACAGGTGAATATCAATCTTTTAAGACGCGATGTCAGAATTGCCTAATTAATGAAATAAATGCCGTTACTCAAGGGTTTTCGCGTGATTATTTTACCTTCAAGCACATTCAATTATTTTAACTTTCGCAGGTATTTCCAAAGTAGCTGTCTCTCGGCTGCACGTTTTCAACAAGTTCCTCCGCCAAGAGGTAGTAAAAAAGAAACGATTCATTAGTGTATCAAATTTTCATATTTTTTTTTTTTTCGAAGGCAGCATCAAAACTCCCAAAGACTTTCTTGAGCGAATCGGTAGAGGATGCGCCGATTTAGCTGACAAATTCAAGGTTTTTGAACCTTTTTTTCTTTAAAGAAATCCAATCACATATCTTTAATTAATATGAGAAATTTAGACTTGGGATGAACTTTTCACTACGACTGGTAAACAAATGAAAGATGATATGGCAATAGGGACCAGGCAAAGAAGGTAATTTCTGGTAGTAGATCATTTTTATTTGCTTTGCAATATAAAACTTACCATTTTTATGAAATTATAGATGGATCCTCGCGTGGACAGCTCATTATCGATGTGGTATTGATCCGTATAATATTCCAATCAGAACAAAAAAGTCAAAAAAGAAAAACTGAAGAATTGATTTGATTGATTTATTTATTTCATGCATGTGATGAAGCTATCAGTAAAGATGTAAACTATAATGTTAACATTGACCAAGCGATTGTGCCTGTTTAGCAAACTTTATAGAAAAATATTCATTTTTTATCTTCTGACGTAATTTGCTCAAGGGATGTGCCATCTATTTGTTGTTTTTCGTTTCTTTAGTTTCATCTCAATAATCCCGTCGACCTAATACACGTATCGGATGGATCGTAACACATCAATAGTAAAAAATTCAATTACAAAAACTTAAAGAAAACAAAGGCGAAAATTCAGAGGAAGCACGTAAATTGGAGCAAGAAATTGAAAAATTATTTTTAAAGCAAAACTCAAATGACAATACTAGTCATTGCTAAAGAGAAACAAGGCGTCATCAAGCAATGCCCGGAGAAAGATTCCCCGAGCGCCATTTTCATCTCGATCCATTACGGTCCCGCAATTTCGGCATATATACACTTCGGATCCTCCGATGTTTTGGATATTACCACATCAGCTGCAAGTCTTTGAGGTATATGCCTCATTTTGAATTATAACTCGGGCTCTTAATTCCTCGGCCTTGGCGATCGGACGTTGGCGGAAACGATAATGTGCCCAACAGAGCATTTTGCGCACTGTAAGACGTGTTATCTTTCTAGTTTTGCGATTTACCATGTTCGAAACTTCAAAAAGGGGGATGACAATAGCGTCGAATTCGTGAGTAAAGAATGCAACTGACTTTCGGTCGCATCCGAGAAATTGCTGTCTCAAGTCTACATTTTGAGGTAGAGGCAGCTAGAAGATCTTTTTTCGAAATAAGATCTTCCATATACTTGCAGATGCGAACTATACGACTAATGTCGCTTCCTCTAATCTTGCCTACGCCTTTTGTGAGAGAGTACCACGTGAAGGGTGTACGAATGCCGGGATCAATGGATCGAGCCATCCGCTTGGGTTTCGCGGAGCCGTTTTCGCGTCTCGAAAATCCAAGAAAACGTCAAATCATTGGTCTTCCATGAATATGTTAGCTTGCAATCACTCGTAATCTTGTGCGGTAATGGCCATTGTTCTTGCGTTTCTTCTCGAAATGAAAGGGCCAGAGCGTACGTTGGTCTTCGTGAGTTGAAAAACGAGAGGCTTGTGAAGTTTGTGGTATGACAACATATCACGAGCATGTAGAGATGAGACGTAAAAGCGATTCCAGGGATCCTTTGCGAAATTCTGAGCACGGATGATAATGTTTGATTTTTATCTTTGCGAGCTCGAAAGGATAGACGATGTGCCGAAGTTCCTGGCGCATGCTGCATGTTGCGCTTGATATTCTCGTCTCTTGCTATTAATGCCTCGTCAATGGCTTCATCGGTAATGTTGGCGGGTGCTTGTCTGAAACAACCTCGAAGCAGCATTCCAATGCGAACGACCATTCTGCAAAGCTTGCGCTCACCTCAGACTGCCGTCTTCTAAAGTTTGGTATCCTCCCGGTCATTCGCATCCTTCCCGGATCTCACATCATTATAGAGTTGGTATTTTTCGCGTACAGGTTGTGCCTTGATCTATGTTTGCTGTGCTGGTCCGATTTGGCAATTCTTGCTGTAACATCGGCGACGACGATTCCAGTTGATGACGGTATTAAATGCAAATCTCGCCAAACCCAACCATCGCTTGAGGAGCTTCTTCTGAGGGTGATTTGGATAAACCTTGACCTTCAACGTGCGATTGTGTGTCTTCTGGGCGCCGTCGCTTGTTGCTTGCTGTCGTTGCCTTTGGTTTTATCTTGCGTTTTTTACCCGCGCTCTCGTCGATAACGAGCAGCTCGTCTTCCGAAGACAGTGTTGATGGTCTTGATGAGCTCCTGCTCGACTCGTTGAAGAAGAGAACCACGAGTTTTGCAGAATGAAGGGAGAATGTGTGTTGGAGGAGGTCGAAGGCGAAACGACAAAATCGGTCTTGGTGGATAATCACAACCTCCGAGACAATTCCTCTGCTTGTGTGTTCCAATAGGGTCTTAAAACCTTTTTCGATAACGTTGGTAGTGGTGGTGGTGTTGCTGTCATTTTGCTCAGGAAAGAGGGAAGAGATATTATGGATATTGTCGTTGTGGGTTCCTTTTTAAATATTGTTTTCGACTAAATAGCCTATATAAATAATTAGAATTGGATTGTTAAATAAAGAACATCATCAGTTAATCAGTTTGCATATGTTAGTAAAATCTGATAGAATGGTACCAAGTTTCTTTAGTTGCCTGGTGTGCAGATAAAATACATGGAAAGTCTTGTATTACTAAGCAAAATTTCTTGATAGGCATCGGTATATAAAAACATTATTACATATATTAGTCATTCAAATAAAAAAATATATACTTATGCATCATCTCCGCATATATCCGTTATATGCATTGCTTAATTCAAATGACGCAGATCACTGTGTATTAATTAGGTAATAGGCCAATCAAATTTAATGCCCGTTATTTTTCTATATTTTCGTGTTTTCTCATCATTATTTTTTGGTATATACACTTTAATATCAGATGCTAAACAAACAATATAATCATAGTCAATTCGAGTTGCTTCCCCTTCATGGAGCTCAAATGAGCTCTACTGTATCATTGAATGGTCTCAAAGGTTACCTCAAATCAGTATTGAACAATGAAGATTCACGGCAAATTTTCTTCTTCTTAGTGTTGAACCTAAGTTATATGTTTGTGCAAATGATATATGGGATTTGGACAAATAGCTTGGGTTTAATATCTGATGGTAAAACAACATTTGATTGTGATTTTTGAAGATATATCATACATTCTCTTACTGAAATTATTTTCTTTTCACGTTGTCGTTTCAGCCATTCATATGTTCTTTGACTGTCTAGCCTTAGGCGTTGGTTTAATGGCTGCTATCATGAGTAAATGGCCTACGAATAACAAATTCACTTATGGGTAAGTTTGATATTCTCGAATTTTTAATGGTAAATGAATATTTTGATTAACTTTCCTTAAAAATTGGTTTTATAGGTATGGACGAATTGAGACACTGTCAGGCTTTGCTAATGGAATTTTTCTCGTTCTTATTTCAATCTTTATTCTTTTTGAGGCATTAGCGCGTTTGATGGATCCACCCGAAATGAATACTGATCGCTTACTGTTGGTCAGTTTTTTGGGACTTCTCGTGAATCTTGTTGGTATTTTCGCATTTAATCATGGTCATATACATCATGGACATTCACATGCTCATGGTCATCATAATCATCATCAAGAACCAAATAATCAAGATATGAATAATGGAAAATCACATACAAATCATCATCACCACCACGATCATCACCATCACCACCATCATGAAGAAAATGCTAACATGCAAGGTAAATTTTAATTTACCTTTAACTCGGTGCTTTTATATTCATGCATGAACGTATTAAAAATCTTTGTTCTATGATAATTAAATAATATTAGGCATCTACTTGCATATCCTAGCGGACACACTTGGCTCGGTTGGCGTACTTGTATCAACAGCTCTAATAGAACAATTTGGATGGACTGGATTTGATCCCTTAGCATCGATTTTCATTGCTAGTCTTATATTTACGAGTGTGATTCCATTATTAAAAAATTCGGCAAGAGTTCTGATGCTATCATTAACCGATAGTCTGGAAAGAAAAGTTAAAGATGGTTTGAATGAGGTATTTTTTTCTAATCTCATTTGTTGGTATTTCTGTTATGATTAATTCACACAAGTTCTTTGTATCATTTCCACAAGATTTTGCACATTCCTGGCGTTCTATCATTCACTATGCATCGTTTCTGGCCAAGCGATGTAGATTGTTTGATTGGTAGTGTGCATATACAAACAACAGACGATGCTGACGCGTCAACTATTACTGAGAAAGTCACAAACTTACTCAAATTTCACATAGAGAATTTAAACGAGTTAACCGTTCAGGTGGAAAAGATAAATGGATTTTCCTCGAAATGTTATTGTTCAACTTCTCTCAACATTAATCATGTCAAGCGGAAAAGTAGTTGACAAACGATCTCAAGGTTTAAATCGACATCCGAAATGATTTTTTGATATCGTATTCTTGTAAATTCATTCGAATAATGAATTACCGCATCTACGAACAATAATTCTCTGATAGCAAATTATTTAAAACAAATAATTTGTGAATTACTAATATAATTGTATTTATTGTAAGATATTCTAGAATCCCAAATATAATTGATAATATAATCTAGAATTTTTATCACTATTATTAATAGAAAATTCTGAGAATCAATAGATAAAAAACAATTGATAGAAAAATGATAGAAACAATAATATTAATAGATTTTATTAATTTTTAATTATTCAATTTGACTTTATAAAATATATTTTTTATAATCATGTTCTTTTCAAAGATTATGTAATTAATAACATAATATTTATATTGAAAAAGATTAATTTTATTATATATTGTTACCATTTTTGGTGCTTCTTGAAAAGGTTATTTCATGATAGGTTAATAACTTTATATATAATATTTGTCTAGGATAATATATAATAAAGATATTATGAATTATGGGTGGGAGAGACTAATATAATCAAAGATATAATGTAATATACATTAGATTATGATTATAATGAGATTAAAGATAGGTAACAAGGATGTATTCATGACATCATCAGCTAGAATAAGACCTGGGATCATAATATAAGAAATGTATGATAATAAATAAGACATTATTAATAAAGGTCATTAAATTT